AAGTCCTAGGAGAGTGGCATCCAATCTGGGGCTGAGCTGGACTGGCACTGCCCTGTTTTCCCCCTCTGCCAATAAAGGCAGCATGCAGGCTCTATGGCTCTATGGGCCTGGGACAGAGGTGCATTTCCCACAAGCTGGAGCTTTCTTGGGGAGCTTTGGGAGAGAGAAGACAGGAAGGGTGGGAGCAGGGGTCAGTGGGAGATGCTCTGTCCCTATCCTTAGCACATAGGGTGAGGATGCAGATGAGGAAGACCTTTTCTGCAAAGTAGTGAGCTCAAGGTCACTTGGGGTGTGTAAGTAGAACACAATTGCTGGACGAGCCTGCAGGCACCTCAACTCTGGGCCCCATCAGTTCCTAGTTGTCACCTGCTGACCACCAATCATACATGCCTGTAGGTCCCACCTGCTCGCTCCCATGACCAACATGAGCTGGAGCTTCCTGACGCGGCTGCTGGAGGAGATCCACAATCATTCCACCTTCGTGGGCAAAGTGTGGCTCACCGTGCTAGTGGTCTTCCGAATTGTGCTAACGGCTGTGGGTGGCGAGTCCATCTATTCGGATGAGCAATCCAAGTTTACCTGCAACACGCGGCAGCCAGGCTGTGACAATGTCTGCTATGACGCCTTCGCGCCCCTGTCGCACGTGCGCTTTTGGGTCTTTCAAATCGTGGTCATCTCCACACCTTCTGTCATGTACCTGGGCTATGCAGTCCACCGCCTGGCGCGCGCCTCGGAGCAGGAGCGCAGGCGCGCCCTCCGTCGTCGCTCCTGCCCCCGGCGCGTGCCCAGGGCTCAGCTGCCACCGCCGCCTCCTGGCTGGCCGGACACCACGGATCTGGGTGAGGCGGAGCCCATACTGGCGCTGGAGGAGGAGGAGGACGAGGAGCCGGGGGCGCCCGAGGGCCCCGGGGAAGATACGGAGGAGGAGCGCGCAGAGGATGTAGCTGCCAAGGGGGGCGGAGGTGATGGCAAAACGGTGGTCACTCCTGGCCCGGCCGGGCAGCACGACGGGCGACGGCGCATCCAGAGGGAGGGCCTGATGCGCGTGTATGTGGCCCAGCTGGTGGTAAGGGCGGCCTTCGAGGTGGCCTTTCTGGTGGGCCAGTACCTGCTGTACGGCTTCGAGGTGCCACCCTTCTTTGCCTGTAGCCGCCAGCCTTGCCCGCACGTGGTGGACTGCTTCGTGTCGCGGCCAACCGAGAAGACGGTCTTCCTGCTGGTCATGTATGTGGTTAGCTGCCTATGTCTGTTGCTCAACCTCTGTGAGATGGCGCACCTGGGTCTCGGCAGTGCGCAGGACGCTGTACGCGGCCGTCGGGGAGCCTCAGCGCCGGGTCCTGGCCCTGCGCCGCGCCCGCCGCCCTGCGCTTTCCCATCCGCCGCCGCCGGTCTGGCTTGCCCTCCCGAATACAGCCTGGTGGTGCGCGCGGCTGAGCGGGCGCGCGCGCACGACCAGAACTTGGCTAACCTGGCCCTGCAGGCACTGCGCGATGGGGCGGCGGCGGCAGCGGTGGTCGCGGATCGGGACAGCCCGCCATGCTCAGGGCTCAATGCAGCCTCTCGGGGGGCTCCCAGGGCGGGTGGCCCAGCTTCCGGAACCGGTAGCGCCACGTCGGGGGGCACCGTTGGGGAGCAGGGCCGGCCGGGAGCTCAGGAACAGCTGACCACTAAGCCCAGGGCGGGCTCTGAGAAGGGCAGTACAGGCAGTAGGGACGGCAAGGCCACGGTGTGGATCTGAGGGCACTGGGGAGAGAGCTCAGGGAGGGCCTGGCTTGAGGGGTCAATGGAAACCTTTCTGTCCTCAACCGGGACCGCTGACAGACCCCCTAAGGGCTTTTAGAAGAGGAAGCTGAAGACCCTTAAGAGGCGCTGGCTCAGGTATCTCCCTGCAGGATGGGAAGGGGAGTCACCGGGGTCTTGTCTGTGGCCCCTGGGGAGGGGGGAGGGGGCAGAGCTGTGTGCCAGGAACTGACTGGCCCTCCAGGCTGTTAAGCAGATGACCCCTCCGTCATCCACTGGGTCTACCAGTCCTTCCTTTTAGGCTCTCCTGCAGCTTCCTCATAGGATGGAGATGTCTGGCATGAACCTTTTGGGGACTGTGCTTACCCTCACTGCAGGGGCATATAGGTTCCCCTACAGCCCCCTCAGCCCTTACAGAGCCAGGGAACTCCCAGGTCCGGGACAAGCAGATAGATAGCCTTCATCTACTTACTCCCAGCTCTTGGCTCCCTGCTTGAGGCAACTGAAGGAGGCCGGGGCAGAGTACAGCCTCCAATCCCTGAGCTGAGGTAGCCTGGCATGGGCCATTTCTAGGACATCCTGGAAGTTCTCTCATGCCTTGCTGCTTAGATCCATAAGGCTGTGGTCCAGGGCTGTGGTTTTGGCCATGTTGGAAAATTAGAGCTCTGGGGAGCCTGTCCCTATCGTTTGTGCCCTTCTCCCTGTTTTAAAGCCAACTTCCAGAACAAATGAAGAAAATAAAACTAACTTTTTGTTTACACCCAAGTGTGTATGTGTGCTTCTATGTCTGAGCCCATATTGCACACTGGCCGCTGTGCACCGGTGTGTGTGTGTGTGTGTGTGTGTGTGTAACCATGTGTTGTGGGTCTTTGAGCATTCAGAAATGTATTCGCTGCAGTCCATTGCAGGGAGACAGCTTAACTGCAGGGAGGCTGGGAGAGGAGACCCCTCCTCAGGGACAGGCTTGGGAATAAAGCTGGAGACCAAACCCTGGAGGTCATCAGACCTATGATGGTGCCACTTGGTGCCAGGCAGCATGCCAGGGCCGGGTGGTAGGGCTTGGTGGAGCACACAGATGTCAGAAACAAAGAACAGTCAGGCAGAAGGTCAGCCTGCAGCTCGGGGGACAGAGGCAGTCCATCTTGGGCTGGAGGTGTGTAGTGCTGGCCAGGACAGTGGTGTTGACTTTGGAGAGATGAGGGAGGAGGACAGAGGACAGGGAAACACAAGCCACTCCTAGCCAGGAGCAATCTCAGAGCAGACTCCAGCTGCCTCCTGTGACGATGGCCAGGACCGCGCTGCACTTCCCAGCGGCACATCCCTTCCTGGAGTCCCTGAGCCAGGCTCAGCCCAGCCTCAGTCTGACCTCAGCATGATTGCAGTCAGATAGAGCAGCCTGGGTCCCTTTCCCTCTGGAGCCCACACGCCTGGTCCCAAGTCTCAAGAGAGCCCTTACTCCAGCTGAGCCCCACTCCCAGTGAACCCTGCCTTCAGGTGAACCCCACCTTATAGTGAACTTAGTCCTCAGCTGAGTCTTAGCTCCTGGTGCATCTGGCATCCAGGAGAACCCGTTTCAGGAAGGTCTGACTAGTCTAGCCTCAGCTGAACCTCAGCTCCTGGTAAGCTTCGGCTCCAAGTGAGTGAGCCTCATCCCCAGGAAATCACAGAAGACCTTGCTGGGAGTGAAGCGTCAGGAAGGAAGGTAAATCCAGCCCAAAGCAATGTCTCTCCAAGTGGGGTCTAGTGGGGTCCAGTGGGGTCCAGCTGATGGAGTCTCTGCTAAGAAAGCATCCCTGTTACAAGGCACTGTGAATCTGAGTCTGTGCTGTTGGGGTGTCATCATAGAGTCGGGGCAGGGACTCTGTGCTGGGGGGAAGGGCGTAGAGTCAAATTTGCTCATAAACCGAGTGCAGCTCTTACCCTCCTGTTGGTTTTGTTCCTGTAAGGTCTTCACCTGATTGGACAAAGCCTCCCCGACTTTCCTCGGTCTACTGAGTCAAATGCCATTTATCTCCCAGACACACCCAAGACATCATTTTTAATGAGTCATCCCTAACTGACACTGGTAACTGTATGGAGTCTGATAACTGGGTAGGTGTCTACTGCGTGTAACGGTCAGAGCAGGCTAATGGTATGTCTGTTGCTGAAGATTCATCATTTTATAATGTTTTTTGGTATTGGAGCCTTCAGGCTCTTCTTCGCTACTCTTTATTTTTATTTTTTAAAAAATGTATTTAACTTATTTATTTTATGTGCATTGGTGTGAAGGTGTCAGATCCCCTGGAACTTGAGTTACAGACATTGTGAGCTGCCAGGTGGGTGCTGGGAATTGAACTGGGTCCTCTGAAAGAGCAGCCAGTGCTCTCAGTGCTCTTTTTTTTTTCCCCCTTGAGACAGGGTTTCTCTGTGTAGTTTTGGTGCCTGTCCTGGATCTTGCTCTGTAGACCAGACTGCCCTTGAACTCATAGAGATCACCTGGCTCTGCCTCCTGAGTTCTGGGACTAAAGGCGTGTGCCACCACTGCCACCACCACCACCACCACCACCACCACCACCACCACCACCACCACCACCCGGAGGCAGCTAGTGCTCTTAACTGCTGAGCCATCTCTCCAGCCCCCCTCTGCTACTTTTTAAAGGGAGTATGTGAACTATTGTAAATTACAACGTACTAGTTGGCCAGGTATCTAGGCCCTGTGGTCCAGCCGGGTGAAAGAGATAGAGTAAGGCAGTTTCCTTTTTAGACAGAGGAGGACAAGAGGCCCTGAGATGAAAAAGCTTTACGGACAGGCAGAGCCAGTTTCTCGGTGGGCTCTATGCAGAGGCCTCGAGGTTCACAAGGAGACATTTGCAGAGTAGCAGGTTTGCCAAGGATGTGGAGACAGTGAATGCAGAAGCTGGATCCAGAAAACAAACAAACAAACAAAAAACCCAATTGAAATTAGTTAACAGCTGAAAACTTAGCTCGAAAGCCTCCTTCCCATGAACACTGGACTGGGCCTTGTGAGCACAGAGCCTCCGTAACCAAGCTCCTTGCCTGTTCAGTGTAGCTTAGGAGCTGTGTTTTCAAAGATGGCTGACCACATGCTCTTGCTCTTACTTCCTGTTCTTCCTTCCCTTAAATCTTCCCGGTGGGCTTCTCCTGAGCCCTTTCTCCTTTGCCTTATCCTCCACCCAAACAAAGTTCCCACACCCATTTAATTCCGCTGAACAGAGACCTCCCAATGCAGTCCCTCGTTTACATACAGGCCTGGGCCAAGCAGACTCAAGTACTGAGTATGAAAATAGCCCAGCTAAGTCCAGGTCAACTGGAAACTCACTTTTGAGTTCCCTTCCTTGTACGGAGCTGCTTCTCTACCCCAATAAAGCTCTTCTTGTCCTTCTGCTGTCCCCGACGTTATTTATTTATTTTAGATCAGTTTTGAGACAATGAACCTGGGAGCCACTAGCTCAGAATGACTTAGGTGGCCATTGAATTTCTGGAGCCCCAGTACCCTGGGCCAAGCCCACTCAGACCAAGAAATAGGCTTTGTCACATTCAAAGACTCCCATAACACTAGCAGACACATCGAGTTCCCATTGTGGAGAGTCTGGAGGGAGCTTCTGTTTAATCAGCCAGATAGAGAACGCAGTATGCAGCATGTAACTGCAGCTCCTGTGAGTTCTGTCTCTCTGGAGACTCCTGGCTAGGAGCTGGGCCCGGAAGCACAAAGCTCAATTTTGCGGGTGGGTCAGTTTGCTCCACCTCCCATTATGATTGCTCCATAATGAGTACCTTGTATTTAGAGTTGTGGTCTCCCACAGGCATGGGTGCTGCAAGCTGAGGACCAGAGTTACCTTAGGGCTGGCCGCTCCTGAGACCCCTCTTCTTGGCTTATAGACATCATCTTCTCACTGTGTCCTCACAGTGCCTGGATTAGGGCCACTCTGGTGACCTCATTTACCTTAAGCACATCTTCAGGGGGTGAAACTTTTTGAGACAGGGTTTCACTGTAGCTCCGGCTACCCTCAAACTCCTGGACCTCCTGCCTCAGTCTCCCAATGTGTACCACACCCAGTTCCTTGATAATTTCTTTTCTTTTTCAAGACAAGGTTTCTTTGTGTAGACTTGGCTGTCCTGGAACTCCCTCTGTAGACCAGGCTGGCCTTGAACTTACAGAGATCTGACTGCCTCTGCATCCCGAGTGTTGGATTAAAGGCCACTACCGCCTCACCCTTAATAATTTTTGAGGTCCTGTCTCCAAATGCAAACAAATTCTGAGTTCACGGAGTTTAGGATGTCAATATACAATTTTTTCCATCTCAAGAGGTACTTGCCCAGCTGAAGGTTCTGTGTCCATGGAGGGAGAGACCCTTGACAGTGATGACTTAGGTACGGTTCCACCCTCATAGTCAGAGTGTCCCTGGCTGTCCCTGGACTGTGATGGCTTAGTCCCAACCTCCATGCCATCTACCAGTCCTACCTCTAAGACCAGCTCCTTGACAATGTGGACATTATCACAGTCCTGTGTGTGACCCCAGTCTCGTGTGTGACCCCAATCCCCTGTGTGACCCCAGATAGAGAGGGTAGCAACAAACTAAAGGATTGAGTCTGTGCAAGTCCAGGCTGGTGAAACAATGAGTTTATTAGAGTTATTTTAGAAACATGGGTAACTCCATAGGCAGCTATATTGCCATGAAGTCCCCTGGGTAATTTATGGATGTCAACACCACTGGGAGAACCTACATGCAGTATGGACGGCTCATGGAGAGCCCCCTGGGTGACTGGCAAGTAGCTACGAGATTGAAGAGTCTTCTCAAATACCCCAGGATCCTTCCACCTCCTATAACCTTGGGAAGGGGTGGACCTAGTGAAGAGCTCTTGAAAACCCTGTGAGCCCCAAGAGCCTCTTGGCCCCACCCATGAGGGAATCTTAATGGCTTGGTCTCATGAGGGTCCCGGGTGAGTGGGTGATGACTGTTGCTCAGTTCAAGACAGCATTGTCATGTCCTACTTGGGAGAAATGGCTCAGCAACACATGCGTGAGCCCTGAGCCCCGGGCTGGGCTGGGGCCTCTCACCGTTTGGTGAAATCTAAGATACTCAACTCTCTTTCATTTCCCGAGGCTGAAGCCACCCAGCCACTAACCTAGCACGTATTAGTAGCCACTTAGCTTCATGCCTCAGGTTCCCCATCTCCCTGGGATAGCACAGGCGCCACTGGACACTCCTGCCCAGACCCACCCTCATCCTCTCCGCTCCCCACCTGCTGACCTCTGAGCTGCCCCGTGGCCTGGCCAGAGGGCCCACCCTTACTCCATCCACACTGTATGGCGGCCGTGCCTTGCTGGCGCAGGATCAGTTGGGAACTGCCTCTGTCTCATGGCCATCCGTTTCCACAGCCTTAGCCAACTGGCTGCGGCTCATGAGAGTTCGTGGAGGGCCAGGGCGGAGAGGGGGCATGTTCAGAGACACCCCCAGAATAGGGCAGCTCACTTCTTCCTCTGGGAAGGGAGGAAGCCTAAGGAGAGAAAAACAGGAAACTACCTCCATCCTGGGAAGTGGGGCCTGGGACCCCACCTGGCTGATTTTTCAGCTCTCCCACCCCTCCTGATGGTGGCAGGACCTGGGCCTAAGAGAGAGGTTGGTGATGGTACCAGTTGTAGCTGGGCTCTGAGGACTGCATAGGCCCCTCAGTTCCCTGGAGCTTTCAGGGGCCAGTCCATCGTCCCCTCCTCATGGAAGTGGGGCGGTGGTCCACATGCCAGTCTTGTGGAGGTTA